GTTGACACACGACTGGAATAAAAAAAGAAAAAAGAAAAAAGAGGAAAAAAAAGAAAAAAGAGAAAAGAACCGTCACTGCACCGTGAATTTCTCGTAATCTATTCGCGTTGGTGTAACATATCGTATTTTGTGCACGCAAGGAGACAACCGCGACGGTGAATCGGATGGAAATTAGGTCTGCCGAAGCGAATATAATCAAAGCTCATTGTCCCTCATTCCTCCTGCAGTGGACCTGACCGAGTAGGATGAATAAGAATCCATCGATTCCGAGCAAGCGACCTTAAACGTCCCTATTCTCAACGGGAGCCAGGAGTACTTTCCACACTGCTGCTCGTAAAACTACATCGAAGATGAAAATGAGATTGTAACCGTTCGCTGGAGAAGAGAGGGAATATCCTCTTACTGGTATCTACTGGTGTTCGTATTAGTGATCGAGAAACTGGTGGAATCGTCGCTCTCGTATCGGACGAGACTCCGATACACCATGGTGAGCCATGAAGCTCACACTCTGACGGCAGAGCGTGCACCCTCCGACGCGATAACATCCGATAGACCCTAATGACACCGCGCCGGTTCCCTGTTATCGTCAGCATCGTCGGGGCCGTCTATTTCCGTCGCTTGGAACTTGGCGTCGTACGCGCCACTCGAGCAACTCGCACGGGGGAAAAAGGGCAGCGTTACGTCATTATCGGTGAACGATGACGGCAAGCCGTGTGATGTTTAACCGCGTATGAAGCGGGCGTTAATGGACCGTGGTCCGAGCGTACGATTAACCGTTCGAGTAGCTCCATTAATAACGACCAAGACGCTTTGCAGAGGAAGAGGAGGAGGACGTGCAGCGAGCGGCGGTTGCACCGAGGGGGATGACCGTGCGACTTTAAAAAAAGACGAACACCCTCGGCTGGAGCCGCATTCTCGTTCGGTCGTTTCGTCAATGAACCACCGTTCGATGCGTTCGCTCGTCGTATCGCACCGTGTATCGCCGCGTGTGTTGCATTATTCTACGTGTATGTGTATGTGTGTGCGTGCGTGCGGATATCGTTGGCGGTCACGGCAACTCGAACGTTGATCGACAGTCTCCACCGTTCGTTTGTCGAAAGTTCAATCGATCGCCGACCAGTTTCGAACGTGTACCGTTGCCGAGTTTAGTTAATAACTCGGTTCACTCGCAGTTCGGTAAAATTCGGTGAAAATTTTGCTTGACAAGGTGAGGAGAGAGAGAGAGAGAGAGAGGTTTGCAAGGGAAACGAGTGCTCTGTGTGAAGTTCTCGCGACGGCGTGCCACGCCGGATAGTTGTGTGCAGAAATCCCAGAAGACGGTGTCGGGAATCGGTTCGCAAGCGAAGTTCCAACCCATCGGAGAACTAGATTCATTGAAACTTATCGCCTATATCCGGCAACTTGCTATTCTGGGAGTTAAGGCTGCTGGATAACGGCGGCGGGGAACACTCGTCCGTTTAGTTACACCCGGTCCCAGGATGAAGGGGATGTTTCTGGTGATGAGC